AGTACTGCTACTTTGTCGGGTGTGTACAATGTACTAGTTCCTCTCAGCTGTAAATACCAGGGGTAATTATTGAAGCAGCCAAAACTATTTTACCTTCAAACGGCTGAGTGTGTGTGTCGTAAAGAGAGAGAGAGAGAGAGAGAGCGGTGGAGCGTGTGTGTGTGTGTGTGTGTGTGTTAGTGCTTCCCTTAGTACATGATAACTTACATTAATAGTACTACAACGGAGTAAACTCCCGTCCGCCGGCAGAAGCGTTCACATCACGACCGGAGCGGAACACAGGAGCTGCGCCCCGGCGTTAGCGCCCCCTGCCATCTCATATCAGAGATTTATAGCAGAGGCGGGGAGTTCTAATTACTAATAGTCACTGTGAGAAAGTGCTGCAGTGTGTCATCGGGGTGCTGAGAACTGTTTTGTTGGATATCATCAAAGCTCACTTTTTGCTGCCCTCCGCGGGCCGATTGCGGTCTGTGCGGGAGCATGTAAAAAAGGGGCGTGTTCCTCAAAGATCTGGTTAATGGCGACTGTTTACACCTTTCATAAAAGCTGCACATGTTATTTCTCTGGAGGGAATAGTTAACTTTATTACACTCTGGATCTTAATGATAGTGGTGAACAAAATGGGGACAGGGTTTGGAGACGGATCCTTTAATGCCTTGCCAATATTGTTCTGCTCCCCAAACCAAAGGAGAGTGATGAGACCAGGGATTTGGTTCTCACTCCCAACAAGAACTAAACGCAGGCAAATTATAAGGAAGTTATGAACTTGAGGAAACGGTCCCACTGGGAGTTGTTGAGGACATCACTCTGAAATGTCTTCTTCTACTTACGTCCTGGAGCCCATCACTCCGTTGACTCCCCCCTCCTCCCTCACCCCCGCCTCTCCTCCCTCTTCTGTGCCCGCAATTTTCATTTTCTAAGATGTCTTGTTGTCGTTTTCTTCATTTGGATTCATTAGCTCCCGACAATCATGCAACCACAAAAGATTAGCAATTTATTTGTTGGCTTGTTGGTTGGAAGCTAACGTTAGCTACGACAGTCCTGGTACAGACACCAGAGCTAACGTTAGCTACGACAGTCCTGGTAGCTAACGTTAGCTACAACAGTCCTGGTACAGAGACCAGAGCTAACATTAGCTACGACAGTCCTGGTACAAACACCAGAGCTAACGTTAGTTACAACAGTCCTGGTACAGAGACCAGAGCTAACGTTAGCTACAACACTCCTGGTACAGACACCAGAGCTAACGTTAGCTACGACAGTCCTGGTACAGACACCAGAGCTAACGTTAGCTACGACAGTCCTGGTACAGAGACCAGACGTTAACGTTGATATTTAATAATTAGGTCATTATTGTCAGTGGATAAAGTAGTCAGTAGTTGTGGTCAGTGGATCTTGACCACCTCCCAAAGTCTGCACTGTGTCAGGTCGGAACTGAAGCCACGTCTCTGTGAGAGTCTTGAACACATGTCTCACACTGAGGTTGACCAGGGGACACAGTGTGTGTGTGTGTGTGAGTGTGTGTGTGTGTGCAGGCAGCATCAGTTCTGGAACTCACCATATGGGTTCATGTGGTCCCCCGGCATCTGTGGGGGGGTGAGCCCCTGTTGGAACGGGTCTGTGCTGTAGCCATTCTGGTCCATGGCCACCAGCTGCTGCTGAGGTGGAGCCAGTGGTGTGAAGGAGTTCATCATCCCCTCCATCCGATTGGACATCACCTCTGCAGACCAGGGCAAGCAGGGCAACCAGGGCAACCAGAGCAACCAGAGCCAGAAGGAGAAGAAAAGATAAAGTCAAGATTTGGGTTTCCAGTCCGTAATGTCATTGAGGTAACTGAGGTAACTGAGGTAACTGAGGTAACTGAGGTAACTGAGGTAACTGAGGTAACTGAGGTAACTGAGGTAACTGAGGTAACTGAGGTAACTGAGGTAACTGAGGTAACTGAGGTAACTGAGGTAACTGAGGTAACTGAGGTAACTGAGGTAACTGAGGTAACTGAGGTAACTGAGGTAACTGAGGTAACTGAGGTAACTGAGGTAACTGAGGTAACTGAGGTAACTGAGGTAACTGAGGTAACTGAGGTAACTGAGGTAACTGAGGTAACTGAGGTAACTGAGGTAACTGAGGTAACTGAGGTAACTGAGGTAACTGAGGTAACTGAGGTAACTGAGGTAACTGAGGTAACTGAGGTAACTGAGGTAACTGAGGTAACTGAGGTAACTGAGGTAACTGAGGTAACTGAGGTAACTGAGGTAACTGAGGTAACTGAGGTAACTGAGGTAACTGAGGTAACTGAGGTAACTGAGGTAACTGAGGTAACTGAGGTAACTGAGGTAACTGAGGTAACTGAGGTAACTGAGGTAACTGAGGTAACTGAGGTAACTGAGGTAACTGAGGTAACTGAGGTAACTGAGGTAACTGAGGTAACTGAGGTAACTGAGGTAACTGAGGTAACTGAGGTAACTGAGGTAACTGAGGTAACTGAGGTAACTGAGGTAACTGAGGTAACTAGCAGTGTGTGGGACTCAGAGCACCCCAGTGGTAACTTGGCAGCAGGAGGGACTTGAACCTGAAACCTTCTGGGCCCAAGTCCACTGTCCAAGTCCACTGTCCAAGTCTTAGGTCTGGGACAGTGTCTGAGTTAGGGCAGTGACAGCCAATCACTTAAACTGGAGGAACAAATGGTGAGTACCAGAGCCAATCAGAGATACAGTTGTTGGCTCTCATCCAATCACAGTGAAGGATGAGTATAAAGACAGGAGCCGGAATGTTCTGGTCCATCGGTCAGATGTTCTGACCGAACCCTGGGTGTGGGAGGACGGACACGTGGCTAAAGGCTAAAGGCTAAAGGCTAAAGGCTAGAGGCTAAAGGCTAGAGTTAGCACGTGTCCGGGTCAGAACCGTACCTTGGCCCAGTCTCTGAGAGTTCTGCTGCTCCTGCTGCTGCTGCTGTCTTCTGGCCAACTTCTTCATCTGAAACGGAGTCAAACGGTGAGGAGGTCGTCATGTGACCCTGCAGTGAACTGTCTCTGAGCACGCTCCATTATCAAGTATCAAAGTTTTAGGAGATAATCATCAG